GCTGAGGCAGGAGGATCTTCAGTTTGAAGCCAGCATGAGCTACATAGCAAAACCTTATTTCAGAAAACAGAAATGGGGCTGGGAGGCAGCTCAGCAGTTAGGAGGACACATGCTCTTGCAGACGACCAGAGTTTTATTTCCAGCATCTTAGTATGTGCGTGTGTTGGGGTGAGGGTGGGGGGGGTGGACGGGGACGGAGGATGTGGAGCTCACAGCTGCTTCTAGTTCCAGGTGTGAGTGTGTGATTGGGGGGGTGGCACTCACAGCTGCTTCTAACTCCAGCTTCAGGGACATCTGAGGCCTCTGGACTCCGCAGGCACCTGCCCTGTGAGAATGTGCACACACACATAAAGAATTAAAAACCAAAACAAATCTTTTTTTTTTTAAAGCACAACCCTACGTAGAAACCTTACAGTTTTCGTGAAGATTTTTTACTTTTGTTTCTTTTATGTAGCTAGAGTTTTCCTGCCTTGCCCACAGTCAGGATAAATCTCTGTCACCCGCCAGTCCCACAGCCACTCAGACCCAACCAAGTAAACACAGAGACTTATATTGCTTACAAACTGTATGGCCGTGGCAGGCTTCTTGCTAACTGTTCTTACAGCTTAAATTAATCCATTTCCATAAATCTATACCTTGCCACGTGGCTCGTGGCTTACCGACATCTTCACATGCTTCTTGTCATGGTGGCGGCTGGCAGTGTCTCCTTCTGCCTTCCTGTTCTCTCAATTTTCCTCTCTGTTAGTCCTGCCTATACTTCCTGCCTGGCCACTGGCCAATCAGTGTTTTATTTGTTGACCAATCAGAGCACACATTTGACATACAGACCATCCCACAGCACTTTTATAGCAAAATGTGAAGCTTTCTTAGAGCAGTAGGTCCAAAACAGACCTTTGGCGTGACAGCCACTTTTATTATGGCACAGTTGTAGTAAAACGCTACCCACTTATGTCCCCTTTAGTAGCACAAATATCTAGCACATTAGACAGAGGAAAACTGTTGGGAATAAGACACATGGAGTGAGTTAGTCCATCATCCTGTGTCTCGACGACATTCCTTCATTTCAGAACTTGTCACTCCAGAACAAAGTCAGACATTCACACTGTCCTCCCTGCCCCAGTGGGTGCCGAGAGCCACCAGTAGGGTGGTCTACTCCTGACTGCCGATTAGATGAGTATTGTTTGTAGAGAATTTAAGAACAGTAATAATACTGGCTGCGAGTCTGTCTGCTCTGTGTTGTTACCTGCTGCTTTGGGATGATTTCAGTGTCCACATCCTCATCTGCAGGGGTAGTTGGCTCCCCCTGTCTGTACCTCACCATCGTTGTTATCTGGTACCCAAATAGAGCAGGTGTAGAATAAGGCACAGGCACTAATATGTGAGATTCTAAGATGTCTTAAAATGTATCTACCTGTGAGATTAGTAGAGCTGCATGGAGTCTCCCTGACGTTGTCCCCAAGATGCCAGGGAATGGTGAGAATTTTTGAAGACTGTTGACTAGACAATGGTCCAAGATCGTGATGGGAGACCCAGCTCTGCCTTGCCCGCTACAAAATTTCACCCTTGTTGGGGCGACGGAAGTCAAGTTAAGAGAGAGGTGAAGTGTAAGCACTGCTCTTGGCTGGAGAGGTGGAGGAAGGTGTTTACCAGGAAGTGAAAGGCTCTCCAGGTCTCTTTGCTCATTAGAAACCAAGAGGCAAACCTGGACAAACATGAAATTTTGCCGACATGGCAGCTGGTCCCCTGACCTCTCACCCTTTAGAGTAAGACCCCTCTCCGGGCCACACCTGCCGAGCCTTGCACAGCGGCTCGGTGTCTTTCGATGCCTGGGGATGCCCTTCTTAGCCCAGAAGTTCTTAGCTCTGCTTGTACATTGCTGCCATCTGAGAGCTTTTTATTGTTTGGTTTTGTTTTTTTATGAATTCACAAAGAACTACACTCTGAGCCCTACGCTGGATCAATTAAATTAGAATTGTGGGAAAGGAGAAGAATCAGGAAACAGACAGGAAGCAACCTACCCAAGGTGGTTCTAACACACAACCAGGGTAGAGGGCTACGCCTAGTTGGATGCACTTAATTCCACTTAGGAGTGATTTAAAATTTCATTTTAAAACTTCATAATGCAAGTGAGTTGCTTTGGTGAGAGGTGTGTGTCAGGGCACACATGCACACGGATGCCAGGGTGATTGATGGCTCTAGAGTCCTTGGACTTTGTGTGCTCTCCACTCTGGGCCATAGGTGGAAACACAGGAAATGGCTAGACAACGGGATTATTTCTTTTCTTTCTCATATCATTTATTTATTTATTTGTATGTGTGCATACACATGTACTGGTGCCTTGCTGTGGTACATGTGTGGAGGTCAGAGGACAACCTGGGAGTCAGTTCTCTCCTTCTACCATATGGGTCCCAGGGATTGAATCAGGTCCCCAGGCTTAACCTCTGGGCTAAGGAGGGCACGCCCCAAGGCATAAATGCCTTGTCCACTAAGCCATCTCAGTTGACCTGGAGGATAGCATTTCTTGGACTCTGGAGTCAGGCTGAGTGTCCGAGGAAGCTATGGGGGTAAACACAAGGATCAATGGAGATCCCTTTATCTGGCTTCCCTTTATCTCCCGGTGTCCCCCGTCCTCTGCTTAACAAAACCTCCTAATGATAAGGCTTGATATGAAACCTATAAAACACAGTCAAATCTTAGATAATGGGGTACGTTTGTCCCCTGAACACATAAAAAGTATTGTGAGCACCTTGCATGTAAGTGGAATGAATGTATTTTTGTCACTTATGTTGAAAATATCCCTAGGCATCTGGTGTGTATGAATGTGTATACATAGTACATGCATAATAAACATATTCCACCTTATGAATATTTATACACAAGATACATATATATTGAATATAGACATACATATGTAAATAGTAGCCCTTGTAAACGATATGCAAATTGGGCTTCTGAGCATATGTATCACAGTGCATCAGGAATATAATAAATCCACCACCAAGCAAGACATATTTTGAGATGGTATTTTCTTGAGTTGTTTATAATAGGGTCCAGTTATTATCCAGGTAGGTGTTATTTTTCATCGGTGAAAAGTAAGTCACTGGACATGGCAGCGTCACTGGAAACAAATGTGGTTCCTTCCGTTAGAGGTCTGTTCCTCACACAGATACATAGAATTCTGCTATAAAGCAGTTAATGTTGTTGCCACCCATAGGCATCTCAAAGCCTTCTTCCAGCTGCCCTTGGTCTGTGTCCTCACGGCTGCCTCTATCTGTTGGGGTTTGAAATGCATCCCCTCTGCGTTCCATCAGCCTGCACTGTGACGTCACTGCAGAGGCGTTCTGACGCTGGGCAGGAGCATCATTGGCTTCAGTTGACTGTTCAGCCACAGGACACGGTGCTCGCTCCTTTCTCTGCCACATACAGCCTACCCTAGAACACATTTTAATTTGACCCTGGTTTTAGAGGTGATAACGGCATAATGGAAAGGCACCCCATTACAGAGACAGTCATAAAACAAGATACCTCAAAAATGAAACCCCAACAGAGCAATCTCTTTCCACACAGACTTGTCATCAACCAGCCGCCCCTGACCCTGTCATTCCGTTTCCCGGTCCCACCTAGAACCCTCATGACGAGTAGCAGAAACCCTTGATGAAATACAAGCTATACAATTTTCAGATGTGCAGAGTGTGGATTCCTTTTTCAATGGCAGTCTACAGCGTAGCTGGGGAGCTCCAAGTGACACTTGTCAGGTCAGATTCCGCTCTGTCAGGGAAATAGTACGTAAGCATTGTCACTGCTGTGTCACCAGCCCTGCTCACGGCCCCCCCCCCCCCCCCCCATATATCACAACAGGTAGTTCTCAGCTGTTCCCTTGGTGCCAGACATACATTTTATCTAAAGAGACGGCAGACAGAGCTACCTGCTGCTTCCTGCACGGCTCTCCCTGTGTTTTCCTCCTTTTTCCTACCTCATTGGGGCCTTTAAAAATCAGCTGGCAGGGAGCCAGGAGCTCATCATTTTAATGCAGTGCAAAATGGGATATGCATAATTATATGCAAGCCATATGTGAGGGAGGCAAGCTCAGCTGTGAATTTAAGGAGGCCAGGAGAGAGAGAGAGAGAGAGAGAGAGAGAGAGAGAGAGAGAGAGAGAGAGAGAGGAGCAGGTAGGGCTAAGGGGAGTGAGAGCTGCCCAGTGCAAGTGTCACCTGATGAATGGATGAATGAGTGTGCTTCGGACACGCCCCTTTCACCCACCTCTCCCTCACACCAGCTCCAAACCAGAAACCAATGGCTATTAGGAAGAGAGGACCACAATGGTGTTGCTGACAGATAATAATGCTAATGCCTCTGTTGAAATGGCAGCTTTCTTAATTGACAGCGTAGATCAAAATAACCAGTGACTTTTAACGCAGCTTCTGAATTAAATCTATTTTTTTTTACTGCATTTGATTGAAGAATTATTGTTCTTATGAGATCATCGATCCTTTAGGATCTTTATTTAAAAATCGAGGGGAAGCAATTTATCTCTAATAGTATTGCAGTTCAAAATATAACTATGCAAATTGCTTTTCTTATGGCCTTGCTATTAGAATTTCTTAAAAGTGCATTATCTAGAGATTGCTTAAGCATGCCGAAATGTTTAAACACGTATGTATGTCACACAATCCTGATTGTGCAAAGACTCCTGCCACCACGTCACTGCAACACTCAAGTGGTGGCGATGGCCGACAAAACGAGCTGATTTTGGTTTGCTTCGTGTCGTTTGAACTGGGACACCATGATGAATTTGCATGTTCAAACTAAACAATGTAAAGAAAAACAGAACTCAAATTCTGATATCTAAAAGGCATACTGCGTATTTAAACAAACTTCTTAATAATGTTGTTATTTCTGGATTCCCGTTTGTTTAATGATCTAAGCTGTTATGCTTTTAGCTTTTTTTTTTCTTCCATGATTTGTAAGTCCCTAAATAGGCCATTATATTTCCCTTCAGGCTAGAGATGAAGATGGACGTGCTGAAACTTTCCCCCAGCAGCACTTTGCTAAGGAAACTCCAAGGCTTGCCTTCAAGAATAACTGCGAACTACTTGTAAGAATAACATACTTACGACAAGTCTAGAATGTTACTTTAGCACAGTGAAAACAGTTTTTTTTTTTTGCGAGGGTTTGTCTTGATTACATAATTTATGAAATATTATATTTTTCTGTGTAGAGTTCTAAGTGCTAATTCTGATATCACTGCATATTAATTATAAGATCTCAAGTTGTTTGCAAATCTTTTATATCTGATTTTAGAGCTTGAATGGCCCTGTCTTTATTAGCTTGTTTTGTATTGTAGTTTATAAGCAGTCGCTTGGAGAATGGCTAGTAAAGTTAAAAATATAACTTTGATACATGGAGCTTGGAGAAAACCCCACCCCAATCCACCCCTCCCTCCTACGCCCTAAATGTGTGCTTTTGTAGCAGACAACAGTGGCTGGGTTTGCCTAGGAAAGATAGTCCGTTTGACACACAGCACTCCCTTTAGGATTCAAGTATCCCTCCACGCTCTTGCCAACCCCATAGTCTCTCCCCTGCAGGAGTCAGTAGTGATGGGGGTGGGGTGGGGTGGGGGGTGGTGGGTGTTTACTGTCGGGAGAGAGGGGACATCAGCTGTGATGAAACTCGGTTCCAACGCAAGGTTAATTTGCTGTTCAGTTTAGCATTTACAGCGAGACAAGATGAAAAGCAAGCAGGAATGCCTATTATATTTCTATTAAATGAATCTGTTGGGACCTAACATTCTTGATTAGCTTTTGAAAACGAGTGCTCGGCAATGCATTTTCTGTTTACCTAAAGTAAACAGAGAATGAATTGTCATTTATTTAGAGAATCAAACACTGCTTTAGAAAATGAAGCTCTATGAAGGATCTAGCCTGTTGCCCCTCAATGTTCTTTTCTTTTCGATTGCATTAAAGCAAAAACATTTGCTCCAGCTAAATGAAAGCAGGGGAGGAAAATGAAGATGCTCGGCTGTTACATTTTGAGGTAGTTTAATTCCTGTTTGGATTTTTGGCCAAATAGAGTAGAGCTTTGCCAGGTCTCTGCCTTAGGAATTCCCACGTGTAACAACAGCCTTTGGATTTGGCTCGGATACTAACTGTTCATTAGAAACAAAGTGGCCAGAGCGCAGGAGAAGAGTGAAGACATGCAGGCCTCCCCACGGCAGGGGCGGCAGCTGCATGCTGACAGCGAGAACCTCCTCCATGCAGCTCAGCAGCACCATCACGGCAGCTCCACCCAGCCTGTGTGTGCAGCGTCCTTGACCAACCAACCTGCAGGCAGACTCGCTGCTCAGACATGCAACTGTCCACATGAGAATTTAACTCATCCGATCTTTTATTTGAGGGCTCTTAAACGCCCTGGTCTGCAGTAGCATTACCTATTACGCAGGAAGCCCTTTGCTCTTGGTTTTTTAATGCTCTCTTAGTAACTTCAGTTACTCACGCCTGGGATGGTTGGGGGAGGGGGTGGCATTTATCATGCTTTGGTATCAGAATGCTTTCAGAGGTGGCTTGCTCCTTTTTACAAGGATTGTGAAGACCTATATACCATACTTAACTCCCCACTATGTATTGGAAAAGTAAATGTGCTTGAGTGTATACTGGAGGAATTTCGTTTTAATGTGAACATTGTCTCCAGATACCTCTAGAGGGAATTAATGCTTGCAGCAGTACTGTGTTGGCAGTAGTTTTGAGAGGCTTGGTACAATCTTCATGGTAATGCAGTCACTGTCAGAAATGCTTTGTTTTGTTCAGTATACTTTCCTGTGATTAAAAAGAAGAAGAAGACACAAGAAAGCTTATTTCTCTAAGGAGAAATTTAAAAGTACACACACACACACACACACACACACACACACACACACACACACACACACACACATATTTTGCCAGCTGCAAGAAAAGCAGTGTGTTTGCTGTTGTGAATGCCTGAGAGGTTTCGCTTCTTTGCAAAAGAATTGTTCATTCTTAAGAGGGAAATGGGAGTCCCTTGGAGTTTTCTTATTACAGTTCCGAGGTGATTTTTAAGGAATCTGATGGGGAGGGTTGCAAACTCTACTCCAAAGTGCCTTTTTAGCTTAAGGGTGGTTCTGGCATCTTCTTCCATGGCTAACTGCAGCCCCAGCAAGCAGCCGGTTGGGAGAGGGAGAAAAGTCCTGAGGGTACAGAGGTCTTCGGAGTTCCCAGATGGAAGGCTTGTCCCATGGGCCACAGGAACTGACAGAACAGGGTTGAGGCCAGGTAGACAGGACATTGACTCTGTATTATTGATGGTTGACTGTCTCTGTACCCCTCCCCTCGCCCACACTTCTTGGAAGAGGCAGGAATATTGAATAACTTACAAAAAAAAAAGCAAAGTAAAATCGATGCCTGGAAAACACAAGTGTGTGCAGTCGGAGGGCACCAACAAAGAAAGCATTGGCTCTAGTGGATTCTGCTGTGCCAATGTGGAGTTCCTGCAGAGTATTGATTTTTCCCATTTAAACCCCAAAATGTGAGGTGTGCCTTCACACTAATGTACTGCCCACATGACTAGATCATTAGCTTGGTGGTGGCCAAGGTTCTTTCTTTGGTGGTAACATAGTAGTTTCCTCATGGTTTTTAAATTAATTTAGAAAATGCGGCAGGTGGTGGTGTCACACGCCTTTAATCCCAGCACTCAGGAGGCAGAGGCAGGTAAATCTCTGAGTTCGAGGCCAGGCTGGTCTACAAAGTGAGTTCCAGGACAGGCACTACACAGTAAAACCCTGTCTCCAAAAAAAAAAAAAAAAAAAAACAAAGAAAGAAAGAAAATGCAAGGGTAGAAAGAGCAATGATTAGATAAACAAGTCCTATGTGATGGGCCACAGTTCAATGTGGCCCCTTTGCTCTTTACAGACAGGTGTGTGTGTGTGTGTGTGTGTGTGTGTGTGTGTATAAGAGGGGGCTTTGTTACATAATCAAACCATGACCAAAGAAGACAACTTTCAGTAAAAGATAGTGTGGGTGATTTGTGTCGTCTTGACACAACAGCCCCACGGCATTCCAGAACTGGGACGGGAGGACAGTCAGAGCGCGCCATGGCGACCAGCACTTGCACCAAGTTCCAACTCCATTGGCAGTCATTGAGTTTCTCCTGGAGAAATAAGCTTGGGACTGCAAGGTTTCTCGTCTCCCCTAATGAAATCCCCGCTCAGGGGGTGGACTGTGGGAGCCAAGGTGAGAGGAAATCCTTAAGGATATGTTGAGTTCATATTTTCTCATTAGCCAGTTTTTTGTTAGTTCCCAAGAACTGGCTGGGTGAAAATCTTGTAGAAAAAGAACGTAAAATTGGGCCCGGGAAGGGAAAGACCAACAACTAGAAGTTGTTGAAAAGCTTGGAGAAGGGAATGGGGACAATGGAATTGACATCCCGGTGTGTGTGTGTGTGTGTGTGTGTGTGTGTGTGTGTGTGTGTGTGTGTGTGTGTGTGTGTGTGTGCTTGTTTAGGCCAGGCTGTTGACTGGTGAGCCTCCCCAGAGCTGGGATTACAGGTTAGAAAGCGAGCGAGGGTAGGAAGCCCCGAGAAGGACGTGTAGGGGAAAATAAACTTGTCCAACCTGGCTTCAGCTTCCAGAATCATCACCCAGAGTCTGGATCTCTATGGCTCCCTCCAGCTGGAAGGGTGAGGGCTGTGGAGAAGGAGAGGGAGGGAGCCCACAGCTGGGCAGCAAAATAAAAATAGCATGGGAAAGAATTCTTTCTGGTCACTTACAATGCCAGGGGAGGGAGAAGAGGAAAACTATTTTAGTGTGGAGGCCTCCTAAACAGAGAAGATGGGGAGGAGAGCGGATGGCTGTACCTCAGTTCCTTTGGGAGGCAGGCAGGTGGGTTAGAAGATGTGGCACGTCATTCTCCAGCTTCAGAAATGCCTGTGTCAGAGCAGCGTTCGGCTCACAGGTATCCTCCATGCATTGTACTAGACAAGCAGAGCAGAGAGAGACATGGAACAGGAAAAAGATAGCGTCCCTGCAACAAGGGGCGAGTGCACTGTTGAGTAGAGCCAGGTATACCCAGCATGGTAGCCATTAAGTATATGGATTCTTGGGTAAAACAGTCAAGTGTGCCCTATAGATCCAAAGGCATAAAGTACATATGACATCACAGTGGACTCAGGATTTTATCTCTTGGGCCTCTCTGAGTTTACAGTCTTCGTCTGTAAAGCCTGGGGGGGGGTTGTAAAGAGGACACAATGGTGTATTGAAGGTCCCTGTTGTCACTAAGATTAGCTATGCAACTGTGACTCTTCTTATCATCTTGGTTGTTGCCATTGCATGGTAAGCCATGTCCTGGAAAAGCACTAGCAAAGTTCCCATGTGTGAAAGAGAATGAGATTCTTGTGGCAGGCAGCCGGTCTAGGCCTCGCTACAGGTGGCCATTGGTGATAGGAACTGGTGGGGGAGGGAAGGAGCAGAAGGAAGACTGGATGGTAGGAGAGTGCAGGCCATGTCCCCTGGAGCCTGAGTAGCATCTCAGCTGGCCAAGTATGGAGAACCTGAAGACTAAGGAGAAGGCAGATGGGCAGGTCTGTGAAGAGTCCTCATCCATGACCAGTCCTATGGATTCTACTTCATGAAAATTCCTAGTCTTTCTATAGATTAAAAATTACTATGGGAAGTTTCTAATGTTCAAAATTATAGGAATTATCATGTACCCCATGTGCATTTCCCCAGTGCAAACACTCATCAGCTAGAGGCTAATCTTGTGCTTGATAGCCCATTATTTGTTATTTATTATTATTATTATTATTATTATTATTATTATTATTATTATATTTTAAGTGAAGTAGAATTACATTGCTTTCTCCCCCCCCCCATTCCTCCCTCTAGCCCTCCTCAGGTATCCCCTCCAACCTCTCTCATGCTTCCCCTCAAACTGACAGTCTCTTTTTGCTTTGATGATTATTGTTATAAATACACACACACACACACACACACACACACACACACAACTGTGTCTCTGTTTGTGTGCATGTGGTTTCAGGGCTGGCTATGGTCACTCTGCATTGGACAACCAATGAGGAGCTCAT